AGGGGCCAGGTATCCAAGAACAGGAGGGCCTGGCGGAGTTGAGCCTCTGATCCAGCCTCTCCTATCCATCAGCACCTGTGCCTGCTGCCCCTGTGCTCCCTACCTCCCCCCCACAGCACCTCTGGTGGGGTAACTTACCCTCCTCCCTCTGGCAGGCTTTCCCCCAGCAGCCCCTTCACGGTCCCTCAAGTTAGGGGCCCAAGTAATAAGGTCAGGACCTCCCTGGGACTCGGGGTCTGAGATTTCTGTGGGGTGCAGAAGAGGAAGGGAGGCAAGCCGGGGGGGTGGGGGAAGGGGTACCAGGGAAGGGGCAGTTCTGTGCTCCCTCCCACTCACCCTGGGCTTGGCTGGCTTTCAGGTAGCCTCGCCTTCCCCTGTGCGGGGCCCTGGGCTGCCAGCTCCCCTGTGCGGGCCCTGGGGTGCCAGCTCCCCTGTGCGGGTCTGGGGTGCCAGCACACACCTCTAGGTCAGCATCTTACCTCTGAGCTGCTCCAGCAGATTCCAGTCCTGCTCCAGAACCTGGGGGAAATTTCTCTGCCCACCTGCCTCAGTCCAGCTCTCCTCTGGGGCATTCCTGTCCTGACCCTAAGGTCCTGGGGGGACGCCTATAGGCCCTTCAGGGATTCCCATCCCTTCATCCTCTGTCTCCCAATTCCACCCCCTTCTGAGAGAAAATACTACTCCCCACTGCACAACCACCCCCAGGATTTCCCTTTTCTGCCCTCCCTCTCCTTCTCTTCCAAGATCCAGAAATGAATTTCTGCTTCTCTCTCCCCCAGGCGAGAGGCTCTGGATCTCAGCTGGAAGAGGGGGATGGCATAGGGCAGACTGGGCAACCATCTGCCACCCCCTCGTGCTGCTCAGCATTCCAGCCACATAGGCGCTCCCACTGCCAGGGACAGATAAGGTGCAGCTGGAGGCTGGCAGCAGCTGCTGTGCTCTCTCCCTGGCCCCCACCCAGCCCCGAAGGGCAGCTGCACCCCAGCCCCCTCCCTGGAACCCCTGCCACAACTTGGCCTGGCTGGCCTCAAGGTGGGGTGGGAGAGCGGTGCTCTCAGATCCTGTTGTCCTGGCAACCAAGCACCACACCAGGAAGAAGGGTGGCCAGGAAGAGCCACCTCATGGGCGGGTCTCTGGTTGCTCTTTTGGTAACTCTGGAGGAGGGGTGGAGAGCGGTGGGGCTGCCCACACAGGCTGCTGTGGGACTTGCAGTCCACTGCCCTCTGCCTCAGTCCCAAAGGGGTTTCAAACCATCTTCTCATGTTTAGCGCAGCCTGCCCCTACTCACCCCCCACTTCCTTTAACTGACTCAGCCACAGCTGGTGGATGGACGGCCCAGACACTCTGACCACCGAGTCCATCCCCTGAGCACGAGCTGGCTCCGTGGGTGGGGGGATGCCAGTCACTGCTGCTGCCCCGGGAAGCTGAGGCCTCCAGGGACTTCCTATGCCAGTCCTCTGGGGAAGGGTCTTACGGTTGGGTGAGGGTTGACCTTAGACACTTGAAGAGTCCGCATGGGCCACTCCCCACGGGATTTTACAAACACTCTGAGCAAGAGCTTGGAGCTCACAGATGAGAAGCTCTGCTCTGTTGGACAGCAGAAGATGCAATGTTATCTCCCTATGCTCTGAGCCTATAGACAGATGTTTCTGCCGGTGCCACGTATGTCCAGGGTCTAGACAATTGCCCGTGGGCCAGCAGAGAATAGAAGTCTGGAGAGGCAGATGTCAACTGTGGGCCAAGGAAGGAGAGACCCGCGAGCACTAGGCAAGGAGAGTCTGTCCCTTAGGGCAGCGAGCTGGAGGAGAGTCAGAGCCTCCTTCCACCAGGGTGAGATCAGATGTGGACCCAGGCAGACTCCCGCCTCCCCACAGGGAGAAACATCCCACAGGCCAGCACAGCGAGGTCAGCCCCACAGGGCAGGAGAAGGGCATGAAAAGTTTGGGTCTGGCCAAATTCAAGGTCGGTTCTTTATATGGGCTGAGAGACAACAAAAATCTGTTTTTTCTTGCAACTCAGAACCAAGAAGCTAGCCTGTGTATCTCTCTGTCAGCAAAAGGAAGAACTTGGGTGGCTCCAGAACCCCGGGAACCAATCGCATCTCCCTTAGACTGCTTAGAACAGGCCCCTCAAACATGGACCAATCGCACTTCAGAATCTCCATACGGTGAACCAAACATGTTTAAGCATTGCTACTCGGAACCTCTGAATGGGGAAGCCATGGGCTGACCACATCCCCACTTTATAGTTCGCTTCCCAGATTGAGCCAGGTAATCCCCTCACTGTCCCAGAAACCATCCAAGCTACGGGGCTTTCTCCTTGGGGACCCTTTTTGTTTGTGTTGGGCGTGAAACAGGGGTGGGGAGGGGGCCACTGGCTTTTACTTCTGCCTTCTTCTACAGGGCCGCAACCCTTGGGGACATAGCTGGTGAGCCTGGAAACCCTTTGGCCTCATGTTTTAAGGAATCCAGGACTCTTCTGTTTGAGGAAAAGAAAAAGAGAAGCAAGTGATTCTTGCATCATGCTAAGCTCTCTGTCAGCATGGCTCAGCAAGGAGTGTGGTCGTGTAAACTTTGTTCTCCAGGACTGACAAAGGCCCAAGAAATCCATCTGCAGAGCAGGGCTTAAAGAGATTGGGGAGTCTTGTATAAGCGCAATAGGAACAAATAGGCATGACCATGGCTGCAAACCTTTCCACACAAACAGACGCAGCTCGTGCTGCCATGGTGCTAGGGGGAAGCCTCAAGTGGAGGAGAAAACGGTCAGGAGAAAAGGGAGAAACTGAGAGTGGAGAACTGGTGGCCGGCAAGGAGAAAAAGGGGGTCCCAGAGGAGAGGGGTTTTTAAAGACCAGTGACCAGGACTGGAAGCGAACACGCCGTCAGGGTCCGTAATATTAGTGAAAAACACACACTGCATAGGCCTTAGGAGACATGAATTCCAGTCCTCAGTCCATCATTAACTAGCTGTGTGAGCTGGGGCAACTCAGGCTGTGTCTCCGTGAAGCCTGCATGTATAAAATAGAGGTAAGAAGGGGCAGACAAGCCTTGAAAGCTGACCACAGAGCTGAGGCATCCTGGGGGGGCGGGGAGGAAGGGGCAAAGGTGAGGAGCTAGGGAGGGGTGAGGAGGTGGGGAGAGCACACATGTGCTGTGGTGAGGGAAGGCCACAGAGATCACACCCCAGGGTAGAAATCCTATGTCAAAAAGTGAATGAAGGCCCTTCCTGGTGGTACCACGGGTTAAAGCACAGCACTACGAAGCTAGCCACAGCTGCTGCAACAGGAGTTCGATCCCTGGCCAGGGGAGGCTCAGGGAGATGGCGCGGCAGACCCGCCCGCTGCTCCCCTCAGCAGTGCACTTCATCAGTCGGCCTGTTCTGCTCCCCGCTCTGTCTCTGGTGAAGCCTCTCACCCCCACACCTCTGGCCTGTACCCCAGTTCTTATAGGCATAAATAAAATAAATCATAAAAAAAATTAAAAACAGTGGGGGTGGGGAGGGAAATGCACTGGGCTATGGTGGTGGCACACGGTGATTTGGTGATGGGAAGCCCAAGGGGATTACAACTGAGATGGAAAAATGCACAAAATGATGTAAAAATAAACTATTATATTATTTAAAAGAAAGAAAAAACTGATAGTAGTAAAAAAATTAAAAATGAATAAGAATGTAAAACATAGTTCATTAATAATAAATAAACAAATAGAGGTAATACATGGCCTTTTACCAAGGGGACTGAGGGAGAGTTAAAAAGCTTTCTGAAGAGTTGCAAACACTGTCCTCTTGGTGTGTGTGGTTACTCACGTCTAGCTCGAGGGTCTTGGTCCCTCTGGCCTCTGATTCTAACCCCTCGGGAACTCAATGAGTTGTCCAGGCTCGGCTCCCCTCTTGCTTCCACTAACTCTCTCTGGGGTGCTGGGCTAGAGGTAGCTCCAATGTGGGGGGGCATCTCCCTTCTAAGAAGCAAAGGAGGTCTCCCGTTCAGCCACAACCATGTACCCCAAATCACTTCTTCCCCAGACCCTGGCTCTGTGCTGGAAGAGGAGAGACCTGGCCGAAGAGCGTGCTTGCGTGTGTGGGCACGTGTGCGTGTGTGCACGTGTGTGTGGGCACGCGTGCGTGTTGGCACGCGTGCGTGTGGGTACGTGTGCGTGTGTGTACGTGCGCGTGTGTGCACGTGTGCGTGTGTGTACGTGCGCGTGTGTGCACGTGTGCGTGTGTGCACGTGTGCATGTGTGTGCGTGTGCATGTGTGTATGTGTGCGTGTGGGTACATGTGCGTGTGTGTACGTGTGCGTGTGTGTACGTGTGTGTGTACGTGCGTGTGTGTAACGCGTGCGTGTGGGCACGTGTGCGTGTGTACATGTGCGTGTGTGTGCGTGTACGCGTGTGCACGTGCACTTATGGGGGAGGGCGGCACAGGGAGAAATATCTGCCACATTATTTAAGACAAAGCTCACCTAACTTCTCCCAGGTTTCATAGTGCTTTGAAGGTTTTAATTCAAATCCCCTGGGGTTCTAGTTAAAATGCAGATTCTGACTCACTGGGTCTGGGAAATGAGGGCGGAATCCTGCGTTTCTTTCCTGCAAGTTTCCTTGGACCTCATTTAGAGGCACAAGGCTGCAGGCTGTGGCCCGCTTGCCCCCAGCTCTGGCACACGTGGCCTGGGAGGTAAGCTTGAGGACAGGCGCGCTCTTCCTCACACACACACACACGCACACACACACATGCACACGCACTTGCAAACACATATCTGTGGGTTATATGCTGCGCATTCTCTTTCCTGCTGTCATGGACACAGGCTGAGGTCAGGCCCTCACACAGAGCAAATGTGCCCCTGGGCTGAGCAAAGTCTTCTCCTACCAGGAGCAAACCCCAGGGACACAGAGCTTCCTCTCTCCAAGTAGCAACACAATGACAGGCTTCTCTGCTCCTAGTCTCCTCCTCCTCTACCCCCCCCACCCCCATGACTCACAGCCGTGCACCAAGGGAGCCACTCACCACCTTGAAGTCTTCAGCGCTGCAGATCTCCCCCCGAAAGTGGCAGGAGAGCAGCATGTCTCTAATGTCGTGTCCTGCACGGTCGTAGAACTCCCGCATGTTGAAGGGTTTGGGCTTGAAGCTGCGGAAGTTGGCCTTGTCCTGCAGTATCTCCAGCTGCTTTTCATCTGCCATCTGTGTGTCTGGTATCTCATACCTGGAGTCCGGGAGGGGGCGGGGGGAGTGGCCCATGCATCGGCATGGCCTTTGGCTGCCGTCCTTTGGGCTCCAGTGTCCCATAACCCGTTTCGGACAGGGAAAGGAGGACCGCACCCAGTCCTGGGGGTCGGGCTGGGCCCGGGAAGGGGAGCTGGGTGTGTCCAGAGGTTCAGCCCCTTGGAGTCTGAGAAAACAGAGAGCTCCGCAGTGGCTGTCCAGGGGTGTCCAGCGATATCAAGGAACTCTGGCTATTATACCAAAGCCTCTTCCCGTCCATAATGACCTGTCCTATGCCTGAGGGGAGGTGGTGAGGCCACAGTGGCAGGAGGGTGGGAAAAGGTCACTCTAGAAAGGGTGACAGTGTCTCAGGCTGGGGAGGGGCAGAGCTGTTTTGGACTATGATAGCACCGGGGATTGGGTGCCCCTGACTGGGTGCTCAGCTTTGCTCTGACTGGCAGGTTTGAAGGGGCTGGAGGCCAGGAATCACTGGGCTTTATGGTGGATTAGAGAGGAAGTTGGGTGACGGGGAGCCGGGTGCATGCAGCTCCGGAAGAAATGGGGGGTGGCTGGGAGCCACTCACCTGTTGTTGAGCAGGGCCAGCAGCTCCCCTGCATGGTACAGGTCATTCTTGGAGACTTGGCTGAAGCGGAACTCGTTGAGGTTGCACAGCGTGACGGCAGGGAAGGTGAGCTGGGAGGCAGCCACTTCGTCGAGCTTGGTGACATGGTGGTAGTGGAAGTAGTACTGCACCCGCTCGGTGCACACGCACAGAAGCACAGCCAGCGAGCCCAGGAAGCACAGAGCCCAGAGTGCCCGCTTCAGAGACAGCCGCTCATAGGAGAAGATGTGGGCCAGGCCGTGCAGTGTGGAGCTGCTGGCGAAGGCCTGGATGCTCACGGGCTGGACACCACCCACCTCTTCCTCCTCCGCCTTCAGTTCCATCCTGGCCAAGGGGACCCTGGAGGAGGGGCAGTACCCATGAGGTCGCTCTACATGTGTCCATCTGGAATTCCCATGTCCAGAGTTCACTGCCCCGGGGCCCCGACTTGCCTGGTATGCCAGCCCAGACCTGTGATGGGGGTTGGGGAGGGGGGCTCCCAGAACAAGAGCTCCCAGAACAAGATTTCTCCAAATGCTGGGGCTCTGTGGGTCAGCTCAGGCCAAGAGAACTCTCTCCCAGGGAAGCTCCCCAGGCCAGGGAAGACTCCAGATGTAGTCATCACAGGAAGAGGGAAGTCCCAGTGTTCCCACAGGGAGGCACAAGAGTTCCCTCCAGATGTGGGGTCACTATGGGACAGGAATGCCCTCCCCCATTCTGAAGATGAAAACTCCCCCAGAGGGGCTGAATCTGGGGCGAAGAGCACCGGTCATGGATTCCCAGCCTAGCCATTTGCTCTCTGAGCTGAACCTGGACCAGAACCCCTCCAGGAAGGTAGGTACCTTTGGGGAGGGGCCCAGCCTGAGTCCCCACCTGCTCCAGTTCTGACAAGGGCTGCAGGCTGTCTGTGTGTATGTTTGGGGTGGAGGGTGGGGCAGTGGAGGGCAGCCCCAGGTGGATGCGTGTGTGTTGGGGGGGCGCGGTTTCCTATGACAGCGAACTGTCCCCGCCCCGCCAACCCCCCCCCCCAGTCCAGCTTCTCATTGCAGCCAGATCCCCTGCTCGGCGCACCCCCCCCACCCCTTCCCCAGCCACCGAACCACCCCAGCAGCTGGGGAAAGCGAGAGCGGAGGGAAAGTCCCGGCTTCGGGGCGTTGGGGAGTCCTGTAGCCAAAGGCGGGGTGGGGGAATCAGAGACCCACCTGAGGGGGCTTCGGGAACCCGACAACCGGCGGCGGGTCCTGGGGCGCGGGACCAGATGCGGGCTCAGAGCCCAGCCGCGGAGGGGCTCATGGCCGGGAGCAGGAGCCGGCGGCCGCCGCGGCACGCCGCGCAGAGCCCTGCAGGGAGCGGCCCGCCTGGCCCGGCCGGCTCGGCTCTGTCAGCCCGCACGCGCTCGCCGCCTGGCTCGCCTGGCTCGGCTCGGTCCTCCGGGCTCGGCGCGGTGCGCGGTGCGCGGTGCTCTCAGCCCCGGGATCTGCAGGGATCCATCGTCCGGCCGGGAGGCGGCGGGAGGGGCAGGGGGGAGGGGAGAGGGTGCGCGTGCGCGCCTACGAGTGTCTGCGAGGGTGTCTCTGGGCCGGTGTGCGGGGACGGGACCGTGGGCTCTCCCGGCTGCCTCGCCCCCTCGTCCCCGCCGCTCTCAGCGGCGCTGCCTCCCCCTGGTCTGGAGCCGTCTCCCTGCCTGTGAGGCCCTGTGATTTGTGTGTGTGTGTGTGTCGCGCACGCGTGGGGAGGTTGGGGGGGAGGGAGGGTGTCTGCCCCCCGCGTCCCCTCCCCGCGCTGTCTCCTTCGGATCGATGCTCCTGCCTCTTGCTGCTGCTTCCTCTGGTGACACAAGTGCGTGCACACTCACACACGCACGCTCAGGCTCCGTGTCACACTTGACTGATCCCAGCACTTACCGTGTGGACACACACACATACCAGGGTCACGCCATGCCAGTCACAGCCACTCACAGCACCCCACAGACACCCACACACCCCAGAGGCCTAGCCTGTCAGGCAGGCACTCGCCCACTTACACACATGTATTCACCTGTTCCTAGCCCTGCTTTTCACATGTGACAGGTCCATGCATGCCAATGTAGACAGCCACGCAGCCTGGGCCACCCAGACCCCATCTCTGTAGGCATGAGCTTGCCTTGGTGTGTGTGTGTTGGGATGGGGGGTTATGTTTGCAGCCCTTCATCATCCAACCTCTGAAGAAGGAGTAGAAAGAAGGAAAATAAACAGAGGTCAAGGAAATTTGGACAGAAGTCAAGAAACAGGGAGAGGGAAGGGAGTGGGTGAGGAGAAGGCTTAGAAAGATAGGGGGTGGGGATCAGGGCAGTAACAGGATGAGGAAGGGAGGGAAGGGGTCTCTGCACTCAGGGGTGGAGCAGATTCTTGGGGCACTGGGCTCAGCCAGAGGCTACCCTGTAGCTCTCACCTCTCCGCTCCCTCCCTCCTCCTCTCTGAGAGGCCTTGGGGGGCCCTCCCTATCCAATTAACAGAGAAGGAGCAATCAAAGCGAAGTTGTTAATTTGCTGATGCTCATTAGGGCCTCTTAGCACAGAGACTGTTGAGGTCTGATGGTGTCAGATGATGGGGAGGGGGGCGTGGGGACCCATAATTCTATCTCTAGCAACTCTTCCACTCCACTTGCAGGCTGGCACCGCTCTGGGAGAAGGAAGGTGTGAAGTGTATTCCCAGGATAAGGTGCTGGGCTTTAAGTTAGAAGAATGACCCTGTTATGAGAAAATGCTGGAAAGTGGAAAAGTAGAAAGAAGTTGAATAAGAAGCTGTGAGCAGGGCACACATGGGAAGTCAGGGACAGGAGCTGGAGATCCCTAGAGAGAGCCTGGGTTTAGGGATATGGAGAAGGGAGTGTAGGACCCGTTTACTGGGGCCCTGGGCATGGTGCTGCCAAGAAGGAAGGATCTTGGGTTCTGGGTTCTGGTTGGGGAGCTGTCCAGCAGCACCAGAGGCACAGGAGGCTGCCGTGTGCCTGGGCAGCCACTGGGTGGCAGCACTCCATCAAATACTTAGGACTAACCCAAGGGGGTATTTGGGAGTACCCCGGGAGGGCACCAAATAGGGGCCAGAAGAAACATTAGGCAGAATCTGATTCCTGTATTATAAGTATCCTCGGGGGAGGGAAGATCATTTTGGAGCATCTGTAATTCCCCTAGCTCCCCACCCTGGCAGGCTGAGTGACACATAGAGCTTCTTCAAATGACTGCAAATTGCTTCAGTCACTTGAGATGTTACTGAGGGAGCAGTTGTGGGGGTGGGAAGAAGGTGATGAGGTGAGGTGGGGGCAGAGAAAGACTGATCGAGGCCAACATGCAGCCTCGGGAGGAATCTGGGGAAGACAGGAGATGTGAAGCAGACAATCTCAGCTTGTAGACTTAGCCGAGCCATTTACTGGCTTGGGAAGATCCGTCCCTTCGCTTGATCTCTCTGAGCTCAGTTTCCTCATCTGGAGATGGGTATAGTATTTATTTCACTGACACTTCTGAGGATGATATGAGCTAATGCGTGGAAAGTGCTTAGCATGCTAGCTTTATTAGTAAATCCTCAGTAAGCAGTAAGTATTATTAGCATACATATTTGGATCAGTTGGCAAAACTACCAGTGCAACCAAGTCAGGGCAGAGGTTCCCAGCTCAGGCTGCACATTTGAATCACCAGAGGGTTGTT